CTTGAACAAGGCCAATCTGTACTGACAATGCATGCATACATAGCAAAATACGTTGAATGCCTCAGCTCTTTTGATGAGCTGAAGTGGGGTCGCGTTGAGAAAACTCACTTTTATCCCACGTTTGGTGGCCAAATGTCTGCATTATTCAATACTAACTGCAGAATGGAATCTTCCCTACTTACACGTTTTTGCTTAAGCCCGGCACAACCCAATTCCTAATATGTGGATGGATTATATCTTCTCCGAAACTTATTGTCCGAAATTGATCGATTCCTAATAAAAAATTTCCAGAATCTCTGCATTTTCATCATCATTCAAGTTTAATGGAAAGATGTTGATTTTAGGGTGCTTCCTCTTTTCACTTCACTCTGGTTTCGCATTGCCTTCATACATGAGAACCATAAGACCTAATATGCTAAACGGAATATTTGGATGTCCTCTGAATAAGATGCTTTTCTTTCTTCCTCTTCCCTCTTCTCTAGCTACGTTCATCCCCCCCCCCCCTTTCCCTTCCCGTCCCACACTCCTTCCTTGGCCCTGCTTCCTCTGTTTTGGTTATTGCGTCAAAAAAGTCTTATTGGAAAAAAAAAGGAAGAGTCAAGTTAAATCGAGACAGGTTCCGAGGTCAAGCAGACGTTAGATTGCGTTCGATGAACTCAACTGACGAACGCAAACTTGTTTTGTTGATGCTGTTCATATAAGAAAAGAGAATGGAGTTTATGCGCTACCTATAGTATTTTCTCAATAAACTTGTTGAGCTGAGCAGCCAGTGCGCCAAATCGAATTAAACCAGAAATTGGGGAAGCTTTCCATCCCCTGAAAGACTTCCGTAGACGTTTTCTTATCGATCACCATAAGCGACATTCTGGTTATTGATGTTGTCCAGCTCGCGCTCGATATCGAAGAACAAGGTTGAGGATGGTCGTCAGGTGAGGATTATTTTTGTTTTATGTCCAAAACTGAAACTTTGGGACGCATGAACTTCATCGGAGTTTGCTGCAGTAAAACAAAACTTTTAAGTTTGCAGAGTTGCATATTACATCCACAAATTCATAAATTATTGTGCAACCTACTGCCAAGAAAATAAGTTCTTTGATGATGCTAAATGGCACGGATGTGTCATGGCTACAAAACTTGGCATATGGACTAAAAACAAAATAATCATCATTGACGATATTTCAACGGAAAACTTCTATCGATTGATCAGGACCACGGGAACGGTCGATGTGATTTCAATCCGCGTATGTCATGACTGCTGGGCCTGCCAACCAGCATGGCGCACGCGATCTGCACATCCCTTTGATTAAAATACGAGTAGGTCTGACTTATGTGACAGAAGTAAGGTGGGAGGTTGGTTATCTGCAGCTACGGGAGGCGAGAGAGAAGAGAGGTTCAGTGGGGTTGTCGTGCGTCAATTGAGGAGTTCTCTGGAAAAAGGGCGTATGTGCAAAAGATGCAATTCGATAAACGGCAAAAACTTCCCATAGCTAATCTGCAAAACTCAGTTTTCAGTCAAATGGTATCTTAGACCTTTCTCCAGTTGAACTTGGGGATTTAACGAATTTTTTTGTCTCTTTCCAATCAGTCTTTCACCACTTCTTTCCAGTTAAAAATCATAATTTATCAATAAATTCATCATCAGATTTTAAATCAACTCTTCCTCAAAGAATGTTAATAGAAATGTGAATATTCATGACAAGTTTCATTCACCAATTACTCATCAGTGATCCATTATTAATTTATTCATAATCTGAATATCCAACTGTTTCATGGATTTTGAACTTCTCGCATCCTTCCAGAGGCTTGGATGACTGGGCCTCTTTTTCCCCCTTTCCTCCTGTCTGGTTTCTTCCTCCTAACTTTCAGTTCGAAAGAATGAACTTATTCCCCTAAAATCGTTCAGCAATGCAGGTGCTAATGGAATATTCATGGAGGTAGCCACATTGAATTTGTCAGACCTGTCATATAGTGAAAGCATAGAAAAATCTGCTTCCCCATTGCTGAATACGCATCTTAACTACCTGCTGACCACCCTCTCCTATCACAAGTCACTTAAAGCAGCGCATGGGCATTTATGCCCTTTTTTCCAGAGACCTCCTCAATTATTGCCAACATTCTCGGTGCGAGGTGATGACAGAGAGTAACTGAGTAAGTTGAATTTCAAGTCATGGATGAGGTCAAATAAGACTTCAGTTCTGGGCATGTTTCAGATTGAACGCTCACAGCGTCAACAGTCCTCTCTTCTCCCATCTTTGATCGTGCTTTTCACATATGTTCTGATCCCTCGATGCAGAATTTCAATCCCTATATTTATAATATTGCTAGCTCCGTGAATATGAGCTTCTTCGAGATTCATGAAAATTAAGGGACGCGTGTCTCAATTTTCTTCCTCGTGGATAGTTTCATGCAACGCCCATAGGCAAATATGCCGAGACACAGAAACATTCCCAGCGCCATTTGTCGGCGAAGTCATCTTCCGATCTCTACGACAGGAGGAAACGGATGGAACGAGGGCGAAGAACAAGTAATAGAAGAAGGGCAGAGAAGTTTATAGAGATAGCAGAATGTCTTTGGGAACACACAAAGAAAACGCGGGTAGAAAAAAATAAGGGGGAAGGAGCGAGTCAATTGATCAGCTCAGCTCTGTCTTGCTCTGTCTTAGGCTGGACCTATTGAAATCCCCTTGTCGCATTCTTCTCTATTTTCTTCTCTTCACCATTTATCTTCATGGATTGGGTGACAAGTTTCTGACGGAAAGAAATATATCAGACACAGGTGGCAACGATTTTTTTTTTTTTTACAACGCAGTACATCTAATTCACTCGAGCTCGTTTTACCCCTTGATTTTTTTGTACATTTGGTCTCCGCCAGGACTGTTAAAAGAAAAATATTTTATACTATCCGATTCAATTACGGCAGGCTAACAGACGCAAACGACTCGAAGTCCAAGGATGTGGCTTCGCTCTGATATTCCAACTAATATATTCCCACCCTTAAATATCCCTACCCTTTATCTAAACTCCTTTCGTAGCCTCATCGAAGAGCAGAGTAGCTTCCAACCTTGGGAGACTCAATTTGGCCCCAGTGGTTATTCTGGGAGTACGCTACCTGGTTCGACCTTCACCACCCTTTCGCTCACTCCTAGACTAACTGGGTACGAGGAGTGAAAAAAGCTTAAATTATTTTCGTATAACTCACCCATGAATTCATTCAAGAGGCAGTAATACTGCGGTAGGAGCTCCATCTAGATCAGTGATGCACAACCCGCGGCCAGCGGATACTTTTTTTGCGGCCCTTCGGATGTCCCCGGTCTCTAAAAATCCATACTTACAGTATATGCGGCCCATTTTGGCTCATGTTCGAGGGCCTCGAACCCCTCGAACATGAGCCGAACATTCAGCTATAGTGAGATACATGGTATCTAGAACGAAAGCTACTGAATTGTTGGCATATAATTTTAAAGAATGCGCATCGGTTTAAAGCGTCACAAAATCTTATCTCATACGCTTTTCAAAAGGCAACATGGCTCGACTTTTTCTCTTGGAACCATTTCCATTTCCGAAGTGTAATTTCCGGTTAGATCCAAAGTCTAGCCTCCCATGTGCGCTTAGGATACATGCCTATAGTGCAAGGGTTATATCGATCTGCATGCATCGTTTAAGGGGTCCTCTATTAGCCCTAATTTCACAATATTCTGGCATTGCAATGCAGATTATGTGCATAGACGAGTTTTTCAAAGGGGAAATGGAGGATTCAAATGAGATGCACAATGCAAGCTTGGAAGTCTGGGAAATTAATTATATCTTCCACTATAATTATCCACACCGTATTCTGATACTCTATTCGCTGGATAGGAGGCTAACGAGGGAATCTCATCCACGCATTTCAGAATGCTAACGAGAATACTAATTCAACGATAACGAGGAGCGTAGTACGTTTTTCAGCTCGAACGTGAAAGCAGGGCAAAAGGAAATCAGTTCAGGTTTCGTAAGCCTTAAGTAAGACTCAACAAGCGGAATGACTTTCTATCTTTTCAGATTGCTAATTCGTGGAACACATTAGGTGAAGATGCAGGAGCTTATCCTTCCGTTGGGGGCTTTAAGAAGTTAGATGCGTTCGTGGAATAACAAAAAAAGGGAGCAATATAGGTGTAAGTAGCTAGTCTGTATATTGACACGTTCCGAACAAAAATGTTTTTCTTTGGAGGGGTAGGCCTATCTTAAATGAGTGCATCGACGACCTTGACCCGGCACGTCAAATTGGGCAGAAGTTCCTGATATCCCAAACTGTGAACCTTGAACCAAAGAATATAGACTTTTTTTAACTCTTTGCCACGATTGTATGGTTTTATTTTCATTATCAATAAACAGGTTGCGAACCAGTCAGCATCCCAAATATAGTGTTTTTCACAAAATGCTTAATCATTACGTCTCGTGTCGACTCTGTCACACGAGATTTTGTACTTGGAGAAGGAAAGTTTTTTTTTCTGGCCCTATCTTTATCCCCTTATTCTGCGTTACAATCACCAACACTGGATACAAGATGGAGCTCCATTGACCCTAATCTTTGGTCCTAAAGTCGATCTATGAATAGTTCATTCGTCAAATGCCTTGCCTCTTTTTTTTTTTATACAGCGCCAGCGATTTTGTGTGATCCACTGGTGGCACTGCAATACGGCATCCCAGCTGGCTATGTTTTGGTATCCCTCCCGAAGAATTTCAATGGAGATTGAGGGGGAATCCATTGAAAGCAAAGGGTTAATATTCTTATCTTCTCTTTATTCTCCGAATTTCCATAATCAAGAACGTATGATTGCGAAGGAGTGCAGCGTTTTATTTTCTGGGTAACTCTTCACACCCAATTTCACATCCATTCTCCAATTGAACTTATATTCATCGCCGAAAAAGGGGGTAAAATAAGTCTCAAGGAACTCTAGAACTTTCCAGGGAGATGGGAACAATATCTTTGCTATTCATCCTCCAATCAAAAGTTAAGGAAACTGCAGTCTTTGGGAAAGGACAATGATCTTAGAGAGTGGTACAGAATAGAGATAAGATTAATGAATACACGAAGATATAGTTCAAAGTTGGCATGTGAGGCACCGAGGAAGAAGGGAGTCGAATAAGGTCATTCACTTATTGTAGGGTTCCTATAGAGGTTGAGAAAATACTCTCATCTACACTGGGATGTAGATGAGAGGCACTCATCACAGGGGGCACAAGCTTCTCCCAGGAGATATTAAAGTAAATACACTTCAAGGATATCCTCAATTATCAATAACAAAAAGTAACTTGATCAGGAAGCTTCTCATGATTCCTGACATAATAAATTAACATTCTTCCCTTTAAAACCGTAAGCAAAATCTGTTCAATAAAGGGGTGGTTGCCTTCATTGACACTAAGCGTTATGAAATTCATTGGATCAATCCACTTTCCAGGTTCGAGGTATACAGCATTAGAAAGAAAGAACATAAGGCACTTGTAAGATTGAAGGAGAGATATACGCGTTATGACGAAAAAAGTAACGATGATAAAAGAGGGACTGCAGAAAGATGTGATGGTAAGATAAATGGGCCCATCTTTAGGCATATTCTGTATCAGTGGAGACACTACGATCGGCGAGGGAATATGGAGGACGATCATGGGCCTCATCTCTATATCGAAAATCCCCGATTTCATCTGTATCTTCTGAATACTGGCCCCTAGAGTGTGCTAGGGCTATTGACCGTTGATAACTGAACAATTGCCTCTCCAAACTATAATTTTCAGCCTGGAGAGCGCTGATCTCCCGCCTGCAATATCATAGAGAAAAGAAACCGATTGGAATAGGGGGAAAATGCATGAGGGTATCAGCTCTTTTTCTTCGTTCCGAGACTGACCTCATTTGGTAGTTGTGAATTCGAGCCACATCATCGTAGAGATGGTAATGAGCCTGGAAGAGGAGGAGTGAGTCCGTCCATTCTATTTGTACCCTCAGCTGGCGCCTCTCTTCCACGTACAAACTGTCCACTTTTTTCAGCTGCAAAAAACATGGAAGGAAATCCCATGACCAAATTCGCGTTTCCATAAAGAGCTTTCTGTTTTTACGCGGGGGCTCCGTCGGCTTCAGTACTGATGGTCGATTCGAGATTAAAAATTTAAAGAGCCCTTGAAGGAAAATGCGACCGTAAGAGAGAAGGGAGTCCCTTGACGAGAAAGAAGTTCATTCTTAATCGTACGACTCTAGTTAGGTTACTCTGGATAACTTTGCCGAGATACTATATCAAGGAGAATCCTTTGATATTGAATTGAATCAAAGGTCAACGGAATCTAATGACCTTTTCAAATTTAATTCCAGGAATTCAACGACACATCAATCCTTATTCGTAGAGTGCATAAGTATATTAATACATTAGTAGCAGTACATTAATGCCACATCATGACATTGATGTCGGGATACGCTTATAATCAAAGGTATATTGCTTTAGTGATATGGAAGGCTTCATGGATCCGATTCTCGGAAACCCTATAAAAGACCATCCTCGTCGATTTCGTAATCATAGGCCCAGAATCAGCACGCGTAAAAGGCGGACGGTTGAGATTGAGCATCAGCGGGTGACATTCCTGAGGCCCCATCTGGATCATGTCGAGTCCATCAAGAAATTAAATTATCTCGCAATTTACTTCCTCGTCAGACATTTTCCTGCATCCGTCGGGGATTGGGGGAAGGGGGGATAAGGTCGAGTCACGAAGACCCATATTCATGTAATTCATCCCTGCGGAGTCGTGGTAATTTATTCTCTGCGCAACTGGAAACAGAAGTGTATCGCCTCCAGCAAGTGAAGTTGATCATCTTGGCGCGCTGCCTTCATTTTTTTAGTTCCCAGCAAAGAGTGGGTGGAAATTCCCACTGGTGCTTTGCATCAACCTTGTCAAGACCACCGAATGTGAGGAGAGAGAGAAGAAAACGCAGATGCACATTTGCCCAGACAACTCAATCATCTCTTAGTCCCCTGAGTATATGAGGTAATTCCCTCGAGGTGGGAAACTTTTCTCCGCAAAGCTTGATGATCATCGTGCATGAGAGAATGAATGGGGCTGGGAAATAAGGAGGAGAGGGTGCTCCTGGTCAATACAGCGTAGGTGGCCCCCGCATGTGCGGCAAGAATAATTTGATGACCAGATCAAGGGCCAACGAAGCACTAAAGGCAAGGGAGCAGGACAAGGACCAGACAGTAAGAGAGGGGACACGAGCGGAGATGACATATGGGAGATAAGACCTGAGGAGAATGGAGGAACATCAGTCCCCTACGGAAATGACGATCATGTCGGAGATGACGGGGCACTAGGGGATTCATTTACTTCGATTGCAACGGTAGACATGGAGGCTATCGAATGAGCGTGCACTACGAAAGCTATCGAATGTGCTTGCTCTGTGGGGCATTGAATGAGCCTTCAGAGTAACATGCCAGTCTACATCAACTCCTGCGAGAACTCCACTCAAGGCTTCTTCCCTAGATCGAGGAGGGAAAAGGGGATTTCAATAATGAAGACTAATGAATCTCTTCTCTACACTCAGGAACTTCCACTTCCCTTCACGTTTAGGGGGACAATGAAACTCTTTCCACTCACATCAAAGGAGAAAATTAAAGGCGCACTACTTTCTTTCTCATCCTTAATCCGGGAGGAGAAAGATGAAAACGGGCTAGACTATTTTTCAGCATCAGCCAGCCAACCATGCAATGAATGTCTTAAGATTTAAAGCTGCTATCGTTGTTCCATTTGTCATACGTACTCACATGAGCAGGCGGCGCGGGAGGCCAAGGCGATGCATTATTGACCCATTCCGGAGAAAATGGAATGGAATGGGGAAGGGAGAGGAAACCCATCTGGTGGTGATCTGCTACTATAGAATGAATCTCGTTACGAGGCGATCAGTAATGACTCCAGACCAGACCTGCAGTCTCCCTCCCTTGTCTCTCCTCTGACTGAGATCGACTTCGCGAACTTCCACATGAATCATGCATGAATCACTCTGAGAGATCTGAATAATGATAATCGCTCTTCTTTTCTATCTCTACTTTCCTCGCCTCCCTTTTCTCCTCAATTCATTACGTATCATTATTAAATATATCAGATATAATATAATACAATATATGCGCAATATAATATATCGAATGCACATCGTGCATGGCTATGGTCTTAAGTAGAATATTTCCATGAAGAGAATGAAAGACCATCCGAATGAATTATGATGCAAAACCCTTTCAGGTTGAAAAAAGACCTACATGAGGTCTGGAGATTGATGGATGTGTTCCTCGGATTTTCCCCAAAGAACTTTTTTCTCCACGGGCGCACTATGCAATCTGCATTAATATGTATTTATACTAGGTTTATAGGGTGCCCCATGGGAAGAAAATAAGCGCAGAAAAGCCTTTGACATTCGAATTTTCATCGTCGTAACTCACGTTTGCTTTCACGAGTGTGTCCCATTCTTGGTGCAAGTCGTTCCCTCTCTAAAGTCTCTGAGTACCTGCAGTATTTCCGTAGACCTGAACATACTAGAGAGGAATGGCGATTCGAGAGGAGAGTGACACGTACGACCTTCTTCAATTTTACATGTCACTTGACCTTTTCTGCAGCTATTAGGCCCAATATAAGAGGACAAGGATACAAGGAACACTCCATGCGGGAGAATGTCCCGAGTTGACATGATGATTTCATTGAAATAGATCACGGTATGAAAAACTTGGTTCTGCAAATACGTGGTTTTCATTTAATTCCGTAACCCCAGCAGTGATACAGCAAAGCAAGTTTTTTTCTGCTTGGACTTTAGATGTTCCTTCCTGAGTTCCATATATAAGGCATTAGTTGAATGCAGACTCTTTTCTCAAAAATGTTCATTTAGCACCTCATTTCATGAACATCTAAGTTGATTCGCACGATTAAGAAATAAGGAATCTTGCTCAGGAGAGCCTGAAGTCCTTTTTAAGGATATCTTTGAAATACTCCCTTCTGATCTTCGCAATGAATGTAGTTTAAAGTACTCATTTCCGTTATTGGTTTTTTCTCTGGCGTGAGAACTTCAAAATAATTTAAGTTTGAATTAGTTCGATTAGAAGTTCGACCAATAGATTTTAGCTTTACTTATAGAACAAATGGAAAACTAGAGATTCTCGGATCCAACTGCAAAGTTCACCATCCCGGAACCACACTTAAGAGTTGCAGTATTAAATGGACACTTCGTAAATTGTCCATATTTCACAGCGGCCATAAAAGAATTAGAAAGGTGGACAATGATATATCTCTCCTATAGTTCTGTTTCGATTCGGCTCAGGCGATTCATAATAGATCAGTCGTTGCGCAGGGTAAATAAGATCGCGATAGTCACTGTACTTTTGGGGCGACTATAGATATTTGGTAAATGAAACCAGGCGATCCGATGCCTCTGGGTGTGTCGAACCCCATCATTATGCGAGATCCTGGCCTATCTAAATAAGATGGACTATGTTGCTCTTCTCGGAGAGGTGGATGGGGCTCTGCGAGGGTTTCCGAACGGCTATCTAGTTTTGCTTAAGAGGGAATTTCAAGTTAGAAAAAACATAGTGACTTAGAAAATCCATATCGAGATGCCGCGCTAAATAGGAATGACAGAAAGTTGCTGACTTTTTTTTTGTCAACAGCATAACCATTACAGACACCACCTCCTAACAAAAGGGTTATTTTCTAGAACGCTTGCTACAGGGGCTGAAACAGAGTTCAGTCGGACTGAAACTGTGGAACTGCAATCCTCAATCTGCGACCTAAACGTTCTGGCCAACTTGAGATCTAGTGAGGGATATGAAGAACTGAATCAAGAAGCTGAACTGATCGCTACGTCCTGGTCAACAAGCACCAGACAGGGAGAGCCCCAGAACAAGACAAAAAGCCACTCTTGTTGCAAAACGGGTGATGTGGATAGTCATCTGTAAAGAAGAAACTCGCGACGAGTTGACAAGGTTAATCTGCGAGAGGTATTTCCAACTACCTCCTCAGGCTTCTGACACAGAAATTGATTGGTTTTATTTCGGTCAAGTGTTTGCAGAAGCGAGTGTATGGCGAAAGTTTCATAGGAGTGGTGTACGGTAGCGCCAAGCAAGCTTCCTGTTGGACGCCAGAGGCACGCGAGGGTGTTGCTGTCAAGAAGACAGCCCTTAGGACGCATGTGTCCAGTAGGTCAGACCCTTCAAGGGCGTGATACAGAGATGAGCTTAGAGCTGCTACTCGAGCTGTAGCCAAAAATGGAGGAGTAGAATAAATTCGACCGAGAAATGGAAAACGACATTGTCACCAAGGTGTTCTGACTAACCATGCGACGGCTCCAGCAAGATAGGCAACATGTATTGCGTCATCAAAGATCGAAACGGGTAGATTCTGACTTCCAAGGCGGCTATACTTCGGAGGTGGAAGGAACATTCTGAAGAGTTATTAAGTCTGCTCACAGAGGATTCTGGCATAACAAAACAAGGATCACGGAGAGCAGTCTTACTAAAAGGGAAGCTTTGCAGGCTATCATCAGTCTTAAGAATAGAAAACCACCTCGTGTGGATGAAATCCAGGCAAAGGCATTGAAAACAAAGGGTACCGACCGGTGCTTGTAGTTTCTTATGTAGTTTCTTATATCAGACCGCATGGGAATAAGGGACCTCGCCTATGGTCTGGCAAACAAGTGCAGTGGCTCCACCGTTCCGCAGTTGTACGCAAGCAGCACTCCTAACAAATATGAGGGAAGCAGTGAGAAGTTGTGCATAAGTATAGAATTCATGGCCAGCTGCTGCAGGCGATTCAGTAGTTATACAGCGTTTGCAGGAGTTGAGTCCTAGTGATAGGGTTGAGCCTGGATTCTTTATTGGTACATATTGGACTTGGCCAGGGTTGAGTTCTTTCTCCTTTCTTGTCCCTCGTGTACATAGGATTTGTAGACTCAATCTGGACCCGGAGGGGGTCAATAGTGGTGTCGAGATAAAGAAACGGAGCTCCTCTTTGCCGATGACTTGTCTCATGGCGCAGACTAGACAAAAAGTGCTGGATCAGTTCGACTCCGAATGCATTGCGACAGGAATGAAACAAAATGTCCACGAAACCCAGGTTACAGATCTCCTGAAAAATCAAATTCAGTGCACCACACGTGAGTGGGGGGGTCCCACTGGAACAGGTGGAGGAGTTTAAGAGGTCGTCTCTGAAAATGTATCGCCTTGTGACAGAGATCCCCTTCGAATTTCCCGGAATAAAATGCTGTAGGGCATTAGGGCAAACACATTTTGCTTTTCCAGGAGCCATTTTGGTATTTGTCAGGGACCCATCAAAGAAGGCAGCCAGGTAAAAAATGGAAAATATCACCACCTTGAAGCCTGAATGAATATTGCTGGAGAGAAAAAAATATAATTACATATCTTTAACTTTGCACCTGGAAGAGCATTTGTAGAGTTTTAGATATTCCCCACAGATGCGCAAGTTTAATCTAAAAACGCTAAAGTTTTAAAAGCAAAATTAAGTAAATTTGCACGTAAAATATCTCTGATGTAAATTATATCAAGGAAAAATTTTAAAATTGTTTACCCTATCTTATAATTTCTGCTGTCGTTAAGCAAAATGTGCTAAGATGCGATTTTTGCACATATTATATTGAAAATTTTTATATTGAAAATCTGAAACGTAACAGGAGTGCCTGTCTGCACTTGCCCGATCCAACTACAGTCATATACATTTATGCATTCTCCATGTTTTTGGATACCTGAATATTACCAGGATGTAAAATGTATACCTATAAATGGAAAAGATATTAGTTTATTTAATTTTTCTCGCTTTATATCTTATCATTTTGTCTGCGCAAGTAATCTGTTATTTAAACAAAATTATGGGCATCATTGAGGCAAGCTATATTTCCAACCAGCTTGAATGCATGTATGTGGATGAATATAAATGGATAAATCGATACGTGCATGAATAAAAGCATGGATGAATATATATGCGAGAGAGGATGAGGATTAGAAGTGAGCGAAATAGGGCGCCAAAATGCTTCGAGGTCCCTCGTGGGTTATCCTTGGGGATTAGATGGATTGCTCTTTTCTGTAGAGCAATAAATGTTGAATGGATATGACGAGCGGGTGTCCCCAGAGTTCGATGGCATATTCAAGACGGCTGCGGAGTAATCTGAAGTAAATCTGCATAAATTGCAGAGGAAAGAGGCGATTGGCCTCTGGCAACCATCCCATCAAGTCTCAGTAGGATCGGTGTGGGATCTAGCCATTATATCCACCTCTAGAAAACTCGTCCTTAAAGAACCAC